GGAAGCCTGCTTCTCCCTCTCCCACTCCCCCTGCTTGTGTTCCCTCTCTCGCTATGTCTCTCTCTGTCAAATAAATAAATAAAAAATCTTAAAAAAAAAACCAAGTCTTTAATTGGGGAGTATAAATAATAAAAGTATAATGTCCAAGTTCATTATTAATTAGCCTGCCTGTCTCTACTTACCTGGCTAGTGGGTAGGAAACAAAGAAGGCAAATATAACCATAAATGTGTGGCTATTTTTTTTCCCAAGCATTTGACAACAGTGTATGCTGAATACTGTTTTGAGTGTGAATTTTCTCTGAAATTCAGATGTACCATAAACAAATGAAAATCAAGGAAGAAAATTTTAATAACTTTTAGCAAGCATTTAAAGATATTGTTCCTTATTTTACCACAATCTCAGAATTATTTCAACACTTGTTAGGGATGTTTTAGACAGCCTTTATGGAAACACTTTCAAGGACAGTTTTAAGAGTTTACCTTTAGAAACGTAAAGTTCCCTCATTTCTATAGCTAATGGTTTACCAACAGTGCCAGTTCATCAGGGTGGAGGTGTATCACACAGCTGACCATGTTTTATGGTAGAAGGAAGCACAGCTTACTTGGAAAAGTCCCTCTAAAGAAAGAGCGTGGTGAAGAATCGTTTGCTCCTAAAAGTATTCGTCAGCTCCCTTTTCTGGAGTCAATAATGAAAACCAAACAGAAAACATACTTGATTCAAAGCCCTGTGAGTGGAGCAATCCGTGAACTCTGTACAACTTTCTGTATAGTTCTACACAGGAATCTGCACTAGTGAGGGTGAAGGGCATAAGGGTTAGGGAGAGTGAGACATAAACATGGACTGAGAGGAAGGTCTTCCCCACCACACAGTGCATCACCCGAAGCTCAAATCAAGCCGGTCAGGTGCTGATGAAGGTGTACAAGAGCAGGAAGGATGTGAGTTGAATGACTGCGGGAGGACTCTGACTCTCGACTAGGGTTTTCATTTCCCTTTGTAAGTAAGTGAAGACTGTTGACAGACCTTTCTAAACTGGATCTGGTATATACAAAAGTCTCTTTTAAAAGGTTAAAATTTAACATAGAAAGTAATGTTCCTGTTCTTATATAATTTTGGTCTCATTTACATTCTGAGTATTAATAAGGTTTTAAAAGTCACATATTCGATGACAGTGAGAGATCAAATAGTAGTGCAGTATTAAAAATCTTGTCTTAAAAATTCTTAAAAATTCATGAAGTGAATCTGACAGTGTTACTACATAGGTCATTTATTATCAAAAGAGAAATGTTATCCAAAGTCAGCAATTTGTTTGTAATACGGTATGAAAATATTTTTATATAAACAGATACAGTGTCAAAATTAAATACACATTCCATTAATTAAAAGGACAACATATATTATTCTGTTAAAAATATACTTCCCAAATTGCAAACTCATTTAGACAAATTTTATTACACATAAATGACAAAAGTAACTCAGTATTATGGTTTAGCATCCTTAGAACAGGTGACTTGCTATTTTGTGAAATCATTCTTTATGGTCATCTTAAAACATTTGCTATACCATTAATGAAGGCACTGTCTTATGCATTCAAGTTTAACTACGTGTCTTAATCTCTCTTAAGGATCTTGGACTCCTTCATACCACTGTTTCTTTAAGGTATCTAACTCTTACTCTCATTGGCATTATCCACATCTGTTAACTCTGAAACATTTCCAGCACAGAAGACAATTTCCACTCTCATCGTAGTATGCTGGTGCATACAATTATTTTGATAATAAAGCAATGTTAATTTTTAATTCCTGCTTATATACTTCACAGATTTTATATGTCTTCTGAAATTTTAAAACAGGTTTAAAAAGTATTATTGCAACTAATACCTTACTTGGATTGTCTTACAAAAATCACAGAATTAATACTGATTGATATAGGTCCAAAAACATATGAAGGTTTGTCGATTGCAGCCTTTGGTTTCCACTGTTTATATCCATCTTCTAGTAGCAATTGAGAAATTGCTCTAATCCGCTTTTACCAGGATGCATTCTATAACTTCTAGGGTATTCTACCCCCCGCCCCAAGAATTGTACGAGAAGATAGATTCTTGAAGGATACAACTGAAGTTCATATGTCTTTATATTGCCACTCCATATTTTTCAATGTTCTTTGGAGCCCCTCAAAATTTTATTCCAACAAGTTTTTATCTTTTGTAGTAGTATCCCTAGGGAACACAAGCTCTTTTGTTTTCTCTGTTCCTTTACAGATTTATTGTCTTCCTAGAAAAATATATAAAAAAAAGTTTTAAATTTCTATTTAAAAAATACACATTTTAAAATGTTCAATCTTTAATTTCCATCATGTTAGGTTATGCTGAAGGTTTACTAACTGACCAGGATGGCTATTTTCTTCATATACTTGTTTTCTAGTTTATGTTCTATAAAAGTAGTTCACTCATGTCTTTTGCTTATTACCTATTGATGTTCTAACTTTGTTGCTTTATAAAAAAATTGGTGCTCTGATATTTTCCCTAGCTTCTTTTATTTTAAAGTAATGGCTTTAAGGGGCACCTGGGGGGCTCAGTCGGTTAAGTGTCTGACTCTCCATTTTGGCTCAGGTCATGATCTCAGGGACGTGGGATGCAGACCCACATGGGGCTCAGGCACTGGATGTGGATCCTGCTTAAGATTCTCTCCCCCACCTCTCGCCCCTGCATGCTTTCTCTCTCAAATAAATAAATCAATAAAACTCCAAAAAAATAAAAAATAAAGGAGTGGCTTTAAAAAATGTAGCTTAAAGGGATCCAATTTCTAAGGGGTACCTCTCGTCTCCTTTTATTAACATTATAATGAATATTTTCAAACCGAACCATTAAAAAGGAAAAGGGAAACGTAGAAAAGGAAAAAATTCAAAGGGAAACATAAAGGAATTAAGTTGAATAAAAAGCTGATGAAGAAAGAAAATTATGCAATCACTCTCACCAAGTTTTTAGTGGGTTGGACTTCACCCAGGGAAGGTAGTTTTATCCCTTCCTTAAAAACAAAGTCACATTTATAATATTGAATATTATTGCTCCTTTCATTAATGGCTCCTTTATTGCTCCTTTCATTAATGGCATTGCTAAATTTTATATTGCTGTCAAATTCATCTAATCTTTATTAGATTGCTCCTTTCGTTAATGGCATTGCTCCTTTATTGCTCCTTTCATTAATGGCATTGCTAAATTTTATATTGCTGTCAAATTCATCTAATCTCTTTGAGAATCTACTTTATTTTTTGATAGTATGAAAAAAGAATAATTTCATTTAGAAATAGAGTATCAGGGAAAAGGAAAAAGCAAGACAGGTTAGTTTTCTTTTCCTTTTTCTTTTTAACAATTTAGGATGTTTATTTTTAAATTTTTTATTTCAAAGTTTTTATTTAAATTCAAGTTAGTTAACATATATGGTAAAATTGGTTTCAGGTGTAGAATTTAGTGATTCTTCCCTTACAGATTTATAGAAAAGAGAACAGTAGAAATTTCATATAGAGGACTGACATAAGTAAGGGGGCAAAACTGGAAATAAACTTGGCAAATCCAGGACACCAAGAGGAGACTGGCTTGCATCAAATAGATAATGTGATGATAAATGAAGTGGTTCACATTCTATCATCTTCATCATTGTCAACAGGACTCAAGGATAATCTTAAATCTTACCTCCTGTGGGCAACTACTGGTATTAAAAAAAATAAAAACACACAAGACCCTTTTTCTGTCATGAAAATGTTAAAAATTTCTTTTTAAAAAATCATAAGAAACCTTTTGGCTTTGTGAGGCAGCTGGTAAAATTTCTGAAGTGGGGGTTGTGGTAATAATAATATATCACTTATTGAAACCTTTCTAGTACTAAGCACTTTACATGAATTATGCTATTTAATTAACCCTGTCACCATCCTATAAAGTAGATACTATATTTTTCTCCATACTGTGGCTTAGTATCAAGATTGTGTCTTCCAAATTTTGTTTTGTTATATTTCATAACCACTAGCAGACAAGTAGGAAAAATTAGCCCTATACTTAACAAAATTATTGAAGCAAAAAAAATAATTGGAGATATATATATGTTTTAACATGTAAAGTTTTAACATGTAAAGATATCTGTTAAATACATTTGATTATCTGTCTTATTGTCTATGAGTTCTTATAAATGTGTACATATGGGTTAAAATTATTAATGAGATTTAGAGGTAAAAATTTACCATTCCCACCCAAGTTATCACATTAAGCTCCTTCAAAGTTATCATAGCAATGAGGTATGCACTCACTTATTTTTATTCTGCTTCCATAATCTACTTCAACTTTAGGTAATAATAAGCAGTTAGAATTCTATGATAATAGATAATGATCATTAGAGAATTATAGTATCCTATCGCAGGACTAGTTGATATTTTTGTTCAAAGTAAACAACTTACCTTGGGGGTACAGTTCAACAATTGTAATGTGCCCTGTGAAACTCTTGATAAGTGGAGATTAAAATCCTCACTGTTATTCATTTTAACAAACTGCTTCAACTTGCGAGCAGCACGATATAAAAACATACCTTCCTATTACAGGAAAAAAAAAATCAGAAGCGTTGTGGTTCAAATAAAATATTAAAAAATGACAAGCTTTCCTAAAGAGCCAAAAGCCAGAGCTGTATTGCCAAATAATGCCCCACCTCCACCCCAGATTTCCATTCCAGTTAATCACATGACTGACAAGTAACTAGACTAAAACTGTTTAGCTCCTGAGTGACAGTCTGAAGGGCCTAGAATTTGGCTTAATGGTTATTTGACTTTTTGAAGTCTCTTTTCTTTATAATATAAATTTATGATCTTATCACTTATGGATGAACATTTAACAAGATTATTCCATTTTAAATGAGACAACCAAAGGAGAGGGCTTCTGGAGGCAACAATAATGAAAGGTATGTAATTTCTCTTCTTATTTTTGTACCTTTTGAGCTATGGATGAATAGCTGACAATGATAAAAAAGGGTCCATATTCACCTCAAACAAGTCTTTCAAATATTTAAAGTAAGAAATTAAAATAAAAAGAATTTATGAATATACAATGTGATACTATGAGGTTAACTCAGCTACTATGAGTTTTAAAAAGACTACTGAATATCATACTAGTTTCTCTAGAAGGAAATGACACAAACTTTTGTTGTAAGGTTGGTAAATTTTAATATTCCACTGACCAGAGGTAGTAGTTGTTTGAAAATAAGCAAATATTGAAAGAAAAAATTTCAAAGTCCTAGAAGTAAATTATGCTGATGACTGATGTTTGTGTGTGTGTGTGCAAGCAATCACTCTAACAAGCATTTTCCTGCATAAGAATGTCACAAATAAGGGATATGTGTGTCTTTGAATTCAGCAGTTTTAGTATTTTCAAAGTGAAAACTGAAATGCTAAAATAGAAAAAAATATTTACAAAATAAGCATAGGGCTTTTTGTAAAATAAAAGTATAAAAGAAGACAATAGTATAATTTAATAGGTCAGTGGGAATTGTCTGGTTAGAACGAAAAGAATATGTTATTAATATAATGAATATAATTATCTAACACATACAAATAATATAAGCTTCTATAAAATCAAGCTTAAATGACATATAAATTCCAAATAATTATTACCTTATTATCATCACATGCATGTTTTTTTAAAACTTGAGGTTCATTATTCGGGCAATTGGTACGATTTTTTATCATAGTGTCCTGTAAAAAGTAATTATATAATAGTATGGTTAAATTGGGGACTTTTCTAATATATAACAATTTTAAAAACAACAATGTTATAATACTTGGTCTTAATATGTGCATTTTAAGGAAAATAACTTTAGCATGGCTCAGCTGACTAGGCATAAAGAATAGTTTTCTATAGTTAAAGAATAAACAAGTATATACACAAACCCTCACATATTTAGAGCTTCTCCCAGACTCCATAATTTAATCCCATAAATCACTGAGAGGATCTGGTTCATTTGGGGAAATAGAAGTACCTATTTTAGAAGTTATACTATGTAGACAAAGTACAATAAATTCTGAAATCATGAAGTTGAGATGCATTTAAGAGGTTTTCCAGTCCAGTTTCCTGCCACTACAAAAGAGCAACAAAAAGAATTTACATAAGAATAAGAGAAAACCTCTTGACAGAGTGAAGTTGAAATTTATTATACAGCATTTTTTTTTGAGGATTTTATTTATTTTATTTGAAAGAGAGAGAGAGATAGTGAGAGCAGGAACACAATCAGGGGCAGCGGGAGAGGGAGAAGCAGGCTTCCCGCCGAGCAGGGAGCCCGATGCGGGGCTCGATCCCAGGACCCTGGGACCATGACTTGAGCCGAAGGCGGACGCTTAACCGACTGAGCCACCCAGTTTCCCCTAGTCTACAGCATTTGTAACAATCCAATTTGTCTGGGATGTTTGAGATAGAACTTTGCTAAGAAACAATGGGATCAAGTGTGTGTGTATTGTTACATAGGAGTAGGAAAGCAGACAATACTTGTTCATTTTTTATTTCTAAGGAATGTAGTAGAAGGTGGGGATTACCCGAATCTGGAATCTAGTTGAGGTATTAGGAAGAATTTCCTAAGGATTCAGATTCTGTTCTACACAGGATTGGACTAGTTCTGTCAAGCAAATTAACAATGCCATGCTATCAGAGCTTCCAGAAGGATTTCAAGCAATCTTAGCCTGTATGTTGTCACCAAACAAACAGGGTAAGTGGAAGAATGGCTTTAGTCACGGGCTTCTAGTCTTCATCTGTCTCTCAGAAAAGTGTGCATTACTCTGGTCACCTGTGAAAAGTGTAAATGGTCTCTGGGTTTATCCTGACTTTAATTGTATTTACTATCTGCTTTACTGTAGGAATTAGTGTTTGAACATTCATTTAATCACCCAACGCTTACTATCAGTCAATGTGCAAGATCCCTGCCAAGCCCGAGGAGAAAAACAGACTAAGAAAGCACAGTCCCAGTTTCTTGTTGCCATTTGATATAAAGGGCAGATACTACATCATCCCTTGGACACTTTTATATCACTTATCTTTGTTAAGTGTATGCTTTTGTAAACAAAATATTTGTTAGTGCCAGTCTCCTCAGTCATACTGCAAATATCTTAAGTGCAAATGGATATATTTTCTATAACTAACCTCATGTTGCCATTATACACATTCCTGAAGAGGTAGTAAAGAATTAACATTTACCTATTAAATCAACTTCCTATGGGTTTCCATTTAACTCAAAAAAAAAAAACCCACAATAAATCATACATACATTTCTCTTTGATAAAACATAGAGCATTTCATTTTTGCCATGCCATTATTAAAAAAAAAACCTATAAGAGAGACTCTTAACTATAGAGAACAAATTGAGGGTTGATGGAGGGAGGTGGGCAGGGGATAGGATAAATGGGTGATGGGCATTAAGGAGTGCACTTTTTTTTTTTTAAGATTTTTTATTTATTTGAGAGAGAGAGCATGAGAGGGAAGAGGTTCAGAGGGAGAAGCAGACTCCCCGCTGAGCAGGGAGCCTGATGCGGGACTCCATCTCAGGATTCTGGGGATCATGATCTGAGCTGTAGGCAGTCGCTTAACCAACTGAGCCACCCAGGCGCCCCAAGGAGGGCACTTGTGATGAGCACTGGGTGTTATATATAAGTGATGAATCACTAAATTCTACACCTGAAACTAATATTACACTTTATGCTAGCTGGAATTTAAATAAAAATTTGAAACATTAGGATAAAAAGAAGATAGACAAATGTGCATGTTTTCCAATTTACCAAAAATATTATGCAAAAATACAGCATAGAATTAGTACTTATTTCTTGGATCATTTTAACAAATTGCATGGCACATGAATATGTAAAAAGCCACTTGGTTAAGCCATTGCTCCAATGAATTTTTAAAAAACTCATTTATATGTAGGTATATGTTCTTATATGTATGTATAACATACAGAAAAGTAATGTTATACCAGTTGATTTGTTTGCCAAATGTTTGCTACAGTATATAAAGATGTTACTATACACTAAAAGATTGACTCCTATAGAGGTAACAATTACTGACTTCAGTGCCTTTATGTATACATTAACAGGTATATATGAGTGCATATTACAGTTGGTTTCTGAAATTGTTTTTATTCAAGCCTGATAAGAAGGATGGCTCAGACTAAGGTTAATAGAATCACGGAGTTGGAAAGAACCTTAGATATCCATCTCTTGAGTTACTTTACTTGATTTACTTTACCAATAATAATTTCTTATAAGCATCATGACATGTTTGAAGATTTCCTCATATTTAATATGGATATGGAAAATTAAAAGAGAAAAGCCAGGATCACAATGACTGTGAATTGCAATATTTTCCAGTATAAAACATGATGTTATATAAATTGTTCTAAAAATATATAATGTCTTTTCAATCCATAGATTTACATGTCTTTCATTTCAGCATAGTTTTCTTCTTTGAATTACTTCCCTTGCACTTGTAACAGTATCTTCTTCAGAAACACTAATTGTGTATACAGTGGATTTTCTATTTCACCTTTTCTTTTATATATTTGTCTTTGATTTTCTTAATTTCATTTTTTGTGGTTTTCTCCACCATGTCTTCCATATGCCTGTTCTAACGGGGCACTTGTTTCTGGTTTCCATTTTATTCTCCACTTTTTTCCTAAACCTAAAGAGCTCACCTTCATTTTCTCTGTTATCTCTTCTCCTCATACTGTATTATTTTTTAGATTTTTTTTTTACTTTGGTTTCTTAGAGAGTGTTAAGAAGAAAAATCTGACATTTTCTACTGCTTTCATAGGTAATCTTTGATCTGAATTCTTCATTTTCCTTATCTACATTTTCATTTGCTTATTTACATGTTCATTTGCTCATTTATTTTGGTAGTATCAATGCATAGTCTTTTTTTATTTTCTGCAGATATATATATGTATATATATATTTAAATTCAATTAGTTAACATATAGTGTATTATTAGTTTCAGAGGTAGAGGTCAGTGATTGATCAGCCTTATATAATACCCAGTGCTCATTATGTCATGTGCCCTCCTTAACGTCCATCACCCTGCTACCCCATCCCCTCACCCCCCTCCCCTCCAGCAACCCTCAGTTTGTTTCCTATGCTTAAGAGTCTCTTTTGGTTTGTCTTCCTCTCTGATTACATCTTGTTTTATTTTGCCCTCCCTTCCTCTATGCTTCTGTTTTGTTTCTTAAATTCCACATATGAGTGAAATCCTATGATAATTTACTTTCTCTGATTGACTTATTTCACTTAGCATTATACCCTCTAGTTCCATCCACATTGTTGCAAATGGCAAGATTTCATTTTTTTGGGTGGCTGAGTAATATTCCATTGAATACATACATATATATATACAACATCTTCTTTATCCATTCATCTGTCGATGGACATCTGGGCTCTTTCCATAGTTTGGCTATTGTGGACATTGCTGCTATAAACACTGGGGTGCAGGTGTTATTTTCTGGTTAACTTTGAAGGGATGCAAAACTAAATTGGATTATTTTTCAGCTAGTATTCAACTCTTCCCTCTACCCCATCAGAGGATGTATCAGTTTTCTAGGGCTGCTGTGGCAAATTACCAAAAACAACAGAAGTTTCTTTTGTCACAGTTCTGGATGTCAGAAGTCCAAAAGGAAGGTATCCATTTGTTTGCCTCTTCTTTTTTCTGTTGGCCACCAGCAGTTTTTGGTGTTCCTTGGCTTGTGGCCACATGGTTCCAGTCTCTGCCTGCAACTTTATCACCTGCTTCTCTATGTGTGTGTCAAGTCTCCCCCTGCCTTTCTCTCTTTTTTTTCTTTCAAGTTTTTTATTTAAATTCTAGTTAGTTAACATACAGTGTAATATTAGTTCTGGTATAGAATTTCGTGATTCAACACTTACATGCAAGACTTGGTGCTTATCACAAGTTCCTTCCTTAATCCCTATCACTTATTTAACCCATACCCCCACCCCGCTCACCTCCCCTCTGGTAACCATCAGTTTGTTCTCTATACTTAAGTGTCTGTTTCCTGGTTTGCCTCTCTTTTTTTCCCCCTATGTTCATTTGTTTTGTTTTTTAAATTCCACATATGAGTGAAATCATACAGTATTTGTCTTTCTCTGACTTATTTTACTTAGCATGATACTCCCTAGCTCCATCCATGTCACTGCAAATGGCAAGATTCCATTCTTTTTTCATGGCTGAGTAATATTCCTGTGTGTGTGTGTGTGTGTGTGTGTGTGTGTGTGTGTGTGTGTGTGTAACATCTGGGTGCATGTATCCTTTCCAATCTGTATTTTTGTATCCTTTGTGTAAATACCTAGTAGTGCAATTGCTGGATCATGGGGCAGTTCTATTTTTTTAAAGATTTTTAAAATTTATTCATTTGAGAAAGAGAGACACACAGAGCACAAGCAGAGGGAGAGGCAGAGGGAGAAGCAGACTCCTCGCTGAGCTGGGAGCCCAGATGTGGGGCTTGATCCCAGGACCTGGAGATCACGACCCAAGCCGAAGGCAGACGCTTAACCATCTGAGCCACCCAGGCGCCCCAGGGCAGTTCTATTTTTAACTTTTTTGAGGAACCTCCGTACTGTTTTCCAGAATGGCTACACTAGTTTGCATTCCCACCCCTACCTTTCTCTTATAAAGACACTTGTGATGGCCATTTAGGGCCCAAATAGATAATCCAGGATAATCTTATTAT